GGGTGCTTACATTCCAAGGGGGGACTTCAATTACGTCACGGTGCCCGAGGACCGTCGGCGCGTCTGCTCTGGGACTGCGACGGGCGCGCGGGGCCGCGGAGAAGAGGCTAGTTGGCGTCGTGTTGCAGAGCTTCCACACGGTCTGCATGAACATCACCTGCCCGAAATGACTCACGATTCCCCCGCTTCCCGCTCCCGCCTCGACAGGTTCGATTGCAATCAGAGCGTCGCGGAGAGCTTCGACCGGAAGCTGACGCGCGCGGCATTTGCATGGAAGCCCGGGTTGTCTAGGCACTGAGCTTTAAGGTTTCCGCTCTCTGCCCTGGCATTCCTCGGTCGATGCCGCGCCGCTGCCTGGCGACGCGATGGAGAATCCAGAGTGACCTCCACGTCGAGTCGCACCAGCATGGCAAGACTTTCTGGGAGAGGAGAGTGCCCCCTCTGAGTTGCGCGAGCTGGCATGTCTGAAGAGAGCGATGCGGATCGTCGCCCGCAATTTGCCATTCTCGCCTTCCCCTGCCGAGGATGCCACTTCATTGGAGCATCGCGTCGGCATCGCCATGAAGTTTCTTCGCTCCTCGGAGGCTGGCTCGGCGACCAGCGCGAGTCAATGCATTCGCCGGCGCCTGCCCCTCAAGGACCTCGTGAACAACCCCTGCGACTTCGACGTGCCCGTCGGCCGACGCCTTCGTCTCGTCCGGATGCATATTGCGGAGCTCGCCCGCGACCACGCTGTATCCAAATTACGGCAGCTTCACGAGGACATCACATGCTTGTCGGAAGAGCCGGCAGCTCGTCGCGGGCCTCGGAACCACCGGCTTCTTACACGTCTCGCTCCTGATCGGGGGTGCTCCAATTTCGCGCTCAGCAACAACTCCGGGCACGCGTGCGCCTGCGCTGAACATCGGGCCCTAGTCTTGCGAAAACACTGGTCTCAAGTCTTCCGTCGTCGACACACCCGTGAACATATTCGCTGGGGGGGGGTGACTTGCGGAGGAGGCGTTCCGCGCAGCTCCGGATGAGCACCGCCACGCTCCAGGTAATAATGTCCAGTTCGAGACCTTCGAGAAGGCCATCCGTAGCACGAATGGCAGTTCGCCGGGGCCAGACGGGATTCTTTTCACAGCGCGGCGGAAGCTGGAGGCTCTCTACGACGCGATCTGCGCCATTGTTTGCCCTGTCGGGATCGCTTCGCTGGAGGCGGACTGTGAGACCTTTAACGAAATCCCAATGGCGGTCCTCCCCAAGAAGCCGGCTGGCTCCACCCTGGACTGCTTGGACATTTTCACCGCGAACAGCATGCGGCCCTTGAGCATCACCAGCGCCGACAACAGGATCATATGCAGCGCGGTCCGCATGCGCATCGAGCCGGATATCGTCACCGCGGCATCTGAGTCGCAGAGGGGGTTCCTCCACGGCCGGTCGATGCTGGGTTAACCTGATGGACGTCGAGTAGGCGATGCTCCACCATTCTCTTCTCTACGAGGACTTTGCGGTGGTGTTCTTCAACTTCGAAACCGCCTTTCCGAGCGTCGGCCAGGAGTTCCTGATGGAGGTGATCCACGCGCGCGGCTGGCCTGCGTGGTGCGCGCGTTTTGTCCAGGCCGTTTTCATTGGAACACTTATGGCAAGATGCTCATTTCCAGGGCGAAGTTCAATGGATTCTTTTTGACGGCAGGGGTGCGTGAAGGCTTCCCACTTTATCTTTTCCGTTTGCGGTGCTATCCGACATCCTTCTGCGGTGCCTCGCCCGTCGCATTCCTGATGTCACTTCTCGTGCCTGCGCCGACGACCTCGCGGCTGTGCAAGTGCACGGGGTAACCGACGCCCCCGTCTTGGAGCGCATGTCCGAGCAGTGCGCGTTGCTCTCTGGGCTCCGGCTTCGCCATGGCAAGTCAGCGGGGGTCCCGTTGTATTGGGTCGCTTTGGACGAGGTCCGGACCCAGCTCCAAGTTGCTGCCCCCCCCTGGAGCGACTTTACGATCCGCCGCCGCGCCACTTACCTTGGATTCGCAGTGGGTCCGGAGCGCGCCGATCATATATGGACAACGCCAGTGGAGATTTTTGTTGGCACGAGCCCGGACCTGGAGAGGCGTCGGGTGTTTTGTTGCTAACGATCTTGGCTTACCGCACTTGCATCTTCCCGGTCCTCGCCTTCGTGCTCCAGCTGGGCCGCCTCCCCGCTGACTGGGCAGTCTACGAGCAGAAAGCGTGCGCGATCCTCTTTCCAGGTCCGCGGGGCTGGGCCCCTCCCGCGGCCCTCCGGCGCTTGCTCGCCTTCGGTTTCCAGCGCGCGCCAATCGAAGCCCACGCGACGGCTGTGGCGGCAAAGTGCCAGGTTTGACCAATGGGGGAATTTTGTGCACCGCGGCTTTGGTTCGTCGCCGCGCCCGGGCTTTGCAGGATGCTCGGGCGAGTTCTGATCACGCGATGCGGCAAGCAGTCTGGTTGCCAGACTGCTTGCCGCATGACTCTTGTACGACACCAGACTCTGTTCCGCCAGACTCTGGCATGACTGATACGACACCCACTTGTTCGCCAACCTCGACCGGGCCCACGGGCACCTCCAGCAGAAAGCAACGGGAGCGAGGATGTGGATCGCAGAGCTGATGCAGGGGGCCGCCTGTTGGCCCACTCCGCGGGAGCATTGGCAGAAGCGCTGCCGAGCTCTCTCGCAGGAGCCGTCCCCGACGGGCGCGGTGCGTCACCTGAGTCGTTACCTTGCCCGCCTTTCTATCCCATTGCCTCCAAATCGCCGCCTGGAGCGGACCACCCGCGCCCGCCGCGGGCTCGCGCGTTTGGTGCCTCCTCGCGTTTGGGCGGCCAGCTGCCAGGCGCTCTGCAATGGCTGGAACACCAGGCACCGCATGCAGCGACGCATGGAGTGCGTCTTCGCATGCCGAGCTGCCGAGGGCAGCCTTCGACATTATATTTGTTGTCCGGAGGTTGCGGATCTTAGCCGGAGGCGGCTGGGCCTCCTCCCCGCCCCTCCTCTGGAGTGGTTCTCGTCTTTTCTTCTCTTGACCCCGCCGCTCCGCGAAGACACGGCCAGTGAATTCGTTCGACGCGCTCTTGCCACTTATGCGGCGCACGCTGTTTGAACCGCCGCGCGCCACGGGCAGACTGCCAACGCGCAGGAGGCCCTGGCGCAGTACGCGCGCGAGGCGTGTGCGGCACACGTTGGTCTGGCAAATGTTGTAGCTGCTGTGTGGACTAGTTGACTCGTCCCTCTCCGTCCTCTCCTCTGCCGGTTCGTTTCGTTGTCGTTTCGCCGTCCTGTACGTCTTTCTTTCAAAGCGTCTATCACTATAGGATTTCGCTTTGGTGCTCTGCGCCCATGGCCAAGTTCGACGTTTTAGGGTTTGCATTCCTTCCATGGCTGCTCGTGGTAATTCATGGCGGACCCTGGGCGCCCAGTCACGGCGGAGCATTTGCAGGTCACATGCAGTTTAGTCTCTCCTGGCCCCTTCCTCCTCCTCCTCTTCCTCCTCTTCCTCCTCCTCCTCCTCCTCCTCCTCCTCCTCCTCATTCTCCTCCTTCTCCTCCTCCTCCTCCTCCTCTTCTCTTTTTCGCTTGATGTGTTGGATTTTTGATTGTGGCCGTTTGGGCCCTGGGGCAATAGTTCCCGCAGAACTTCCCGTGCAGCCGCGGGCACGATACGTGTCAGGGTACATTCGTATCAGACGCCAGTTGGTTTTCTCCGTTTCTCCTCTTCCTCCTCCCTCTTCCTCCCCCTCCTCCTCATCCCCCTCTATTAAAAACCGGAAATCATCGTTTACGGTCGTGCCCTTCCCCCCCCCCATTTGTCACATTTTTTGTTGAATCATCGTGTGCGCTCCCATCTTTCCCCCAACAACAGAAATTGTATGGTTGGCCCCTCCCCACCTAAGCAGCTCAACATAAAGCAGCCTGAAGGATTGGTGGAGGGGATGGGCGATAAGGAGGCGTGCAAGGACCAGCAGGAACAGGGGCGAAAACGGGGAGCGGGGTGGAGTTCGGAGGACCGCGGAACCCGATAGGAGGAGCCAGGCGCGGGGAGGAGTGGAAAAGGAGTTTGGAGGGGTGGTGGAAGGGGCGCAGAGGACGGCGGATGAGGGGAAGAGTCCCGCAAAAGTGAGGATCAGGGGGAATTGGAGGGGCGGATGGGCGCGCGGCGGAGTAGGGAAGCAGGGCGTGCGATGTATAAAGTTGCGAGTCGCAATTCTAACAGGGAACGGTTGCCAAGCGTAGTGTGGGCAGCACGTGCCGCACCAAGTGCACGTATGGCCCACTCTGAGCACAACATCCGCAGATCTTGTTGAGTGCTTAGTATGTCTGGAAGGGGTACGGGCGAAGCGCGGTGCCACCACCTTCACCGCGGGACACCAAAGACACTGCGAGAAAGTCCGCACCAAAAAACACCCGCACAAAAAAACACTGCGAGGTTCTGCACGCCATCCCGCGCGAGAATCGTGCTTATCCGAACCACCCGCCATCGGTCAACATTGTCCCCAGCGCGCAACTTAGAGCTCGCAACACCTGCGATCCGCTAGCGTGCTGCGACGTTATGATGTTTGAAACTGTACGCTTGTGCCGTGCACGGCTCTGGTGGACAAACACACGCGTTATGAACCTCGGCGATGCAAAGCGCGCGGGCCGGCGCCGCACGCAAGTCCACTTAGTCGAGCATAAGCTTCACCACACTTGGCCACATGTTGCATGAAAGGTGTAACACTGTAACACTGTTCCCTGCTCTTCCTCATCCTCTTCCTCCTGCTCATCCTCATCCTCTCCTCTCTCTCCTCTCCCCTCTTCTCTCTTCCTCCTCCTCCTCCTCCTCCCCCTCCTCCTCCTCCTCCTCCACCCACAGGCGGTGACGCGCTGCCACCAGGCGAAAACGAGGAAACGCCGGCCGGCGCACATGGCGGCCACGAGGACAGCCACGAGGCGGCCGCGAGGCGGCCACCAGCGAAAGGGTCTGTTACAAGGGGCGTTCCAGAGAAGGCCGTGCGGGCGCCAAGGCTACCCCGCCGCGGAGGCGTTCGACGACTTCCACGGGCGACGCCCCCGCCCGCGCCCCCCGCTCGCCGCGCGTGCCCGCGGCGTACGTCCCGCTCCATGTGAACGCTCTTCGCGCGATCCCCCGCCGCACTGCCCGCCAGACCCCCGATGGCGCCGCGAGGAGGCGGATCGTCACGGCTGTCACTTTAGGGCACCAACGGGTCTCCATCACCTGTGGGGGCGTTGCTTGGTGAATGGAGCGGAGGAGTTATGGAGATGGGGGGAGCAGGAGACGCTCGCCATCTATTCAATAATTCGGAATCTGGGAGTACACGGCGCGGCCACCCAGGGCGAGGGTTGGATACACACATGTCGCTCCAGCGGTCGGCCTTTTCGTGACCGGGCACGCCGGGCTTCGCGTGCGTGTCCAGCGCGTGGCTCCGGGAGGTTCCACGTAATTATGAATCCAGCTATGCGTGTTTCCAGCTTCCCCATTTCAAACCGACCTCTGTTATGATGGCGATCGGTGGTGGTCGTGGAGGTGGTGGTGGTGGTGGTGGTGGTGGTGGTGGTGGTGATGGTGGTGGTGGTGGTGGTGGTGGTGGTGGTGGTGGTGGTGGTGGGCCTCCTTCTCCCTCCCTCCCTGGGTGGGCGCCAGCGATGGAGGTGGTGTCCTTAAACGCCGAATGGTCTGGTCCGCCCCGCTGGGCAGATGACCTGCACCCTCTGTTCGAGGCTCGGAGATGCGAAGAGAAAGAGACGAGGAGGAGGAGGAGGAGGAGGAGGAGGAGGAGGCGGAGGAAGAGGACAAGGACGAAGAGGAGGAGGATCGAGCACCGAGGTTTGGGAGAGTTTTGGGTGTCTTCGTCCTTGGTTGAAGCTGCTGCAGGACTCACAGCGACCTCAGGCCGCGGGGGCTTCCGCAGACCTCTGGGGGTCATGGCAGGCGGGCTGTTCACGAATCCTTCGCGAATCTTGGGCTTCGGCTGAGCGTGGCCGTTGGCCGTTCGCCGGAGGTATCTTTTGCGTGTGCCCACCTGGGTTCCCCCACCGCACTGGCCTGCGCGCTGGGGCTTGGGTCTCCCACGGCCACCGGAAGCTTCGCACTGGAGGTCACTCCTGCCTACGGTCACTCTCGCAGTGGATTCCGTCGCCAGCAAGTGCCAGCGCGCGGAGCCCGCCGCCAGCGCGCGCGCTGGGCGCGCGGGCCTCTGAGCCGGCGTAGTCGGCAACGAGGCACCGCCCTGCTGTTCCAGTCAGCGCGCTGGCCCCCTGGGCAGGCCGCAGCGCGGGGCCTGCTGCTGCTTGCCCCAGCCAGCGCTGGCCTGCAGGGTCGGCTTTCCGCGGGGAGCGCGCTGGGCGGAGCGCCGGCGCGCCATCGAAGCTCGCGGCCCAGACGGGGCGGCGCGGCCCCTTCCGGCGGCCGCGCCGCCAATGCTCTGGCGATGAGGAGGGGGGCGGCGGGGGCCCGCTGCTAGCGCGGCAGGGCGTCGGGCCAGCCGTGGCCAGCGCGCCGACGACAGAAGGGTCGATCATGATCATCGTCAACCGATGCCACCGCCGCCTCGCCGCGAGCCCCGATGGGCTCAGTTTATTCATCGCTACGTCGAACTGCTCGCGGGGACATCTGCCCGGCGGCGACGAGCGGGGGGGCCGTTTCTTGGAGGGCATGGCTTCGTTTCTTGCACGTGACGGCTGCGCCGCGCCAGCGGCAATGGTTGGGGCCGAGTTCGCGACCTGGCGGCGGCCTTGTCAGCACGGTCAACGCCTCGGGCATCGCATTTGCGCGCCGCCAACCGCGCCCCCCGCGCGCGCAAAGGAAAACGCGGCGTCGCCCTGCGGCGGAAGATTTGAGGCGATGCCGCCCCCCGCGGAAGAGTCGAGTCCGCCGTTGCGGGGCTCTCCAGGAAGCAGGAGCATGTGCAGAAGGCCCCGCTCCGTGCGGGGCAGGTTTGGCTCGAACGACGCCCGCCCAGAGCCAGAGGTATCAAAGAACGTCCGCGGGCCAGCCAAGGTTCAGCATGCGGCAACCCACCCGCGCCGCGATCATGGAGGTCGCGCTGCAGGTCGCGCGTGCCGCGCCTTCGATAATTCGTCGCGGCGCGTTGCGTTCGCGAGCGCCATCGAGCGAGAGGGGGGCCTGGGCATTTTTTCGACGGCGAAGCCCGCCGCATCTCCTGATGCATGATCCGCTCGCGCGACTGGTCGTCGCTGCGCGTCGCAGCTTCTGGCCGATCGGGCGTCGGACCCCAGTTTCAGCCTGCGCCGCGCCGCCCGCGACGTCAACGCGCGCGCCTTCCAGGCAGCGCGGGGCGCGTGCGATCGCGACGACGCCCTCTTCCTGGTCTTTCGCGCGCTCTGCGCCAGCCCGTCGTATCTGCGCGCGCCAGCGAGGCTCCGCGCGACGCCGAGTCGACGAGTCGACGAGCGCGCCCTCGGGCGAGGCCGGGGGCCCTGGCCGAGCTGCGCGGCGTGCCGGGCGCCGGCCGCGGCGGCCGCGGCCGGCGCCAGCGGTCGCGCAGAGGCCGGCACGCCAGCCCATCGAGCAGCTACAGACTGGCGCGGGAAGGGCGCGCCAGCCCCGCGAGCAGCCAGACTGGCGGGGGCGAAGGAAGCAGCGCGCATCCCCGCGCCCGGCCAGGAACCACGCGGCTTGTGAACCTAGGTCCCAGGTGCAATTGCGCGCGCCTCGGCGCGTACGCGGCATCCGTCTGCGCGAAGGGATCGCCGAGAATAGATGTACTGGGTGCCGCGCGCCGCGCCTTCGCGCGACTCCCATCGCCTGGGGTTGCAAGTCGCGTCGCAGGCCGCCGGCGGCGACCAGCGGCGCATTCGATGCTCGCGCTGCGTGCCCCCGCTCATCGCGCACAAGGTCGCGCGCAGCGCGCGCATTCAGCCATCTGCACGCGGCGACCGCCATCGCTGGCGCCACCTGCGCCATCAGCGCATGCGCTGTTTGCCCGCGAGTCCGCGCGGCGCGCTGGCACCGCGCAACGGCACCCGTCTCGCGCCGGCAAGCGAACGCGCGCTCCCTTTCGAGGTCGTTGGGCCATGCGTTTCGCGTTCATTTTGAGGTGACCGCGATCGCGCGTGGCGACCGCGATCGCCCGCGCCACCGCCCGAATGCATCTGTCGGCCGGGGCCGTGACTCCGCACGCTGCGCGGGCGCCGCCCGACAGCGCGCCAACGCGCGAACGAAGCCTCTGACAGAAGATGGTCTAACGCAACCTAAGGCCTGCATCGGCATCCGATCGCGAACCACGCGCGCGCGCGAAACGTTTGTTCGTCGCACTCGCGAACTTGGCACGGATCTGCCAAACACGCGTCGCGTTGCGAGCGGCGGCGCGCGCGGGGCCCATTCAGGCGCGCACCGCACGAGCGCGCCGCCGCAGCGATGCGCAAGCGGCCGCGAGCTCGGCCCCCCCCCCGCCCCCGTGCCACGCACCGCCGCCTTGACGGCGTTTTGCCCGCCGTTATAATTGGGCTCGCGCTGGGCGACGCGCTCCAAGAATACTTCGCGATCTAGCCGGAGAGCAAGCACGTCCCGCTGACCCTCTCGCGGTTGCACGCTCACGCTCACGATGAGAGAGGCACAGCCTTGGGGACCGTGCGGCGCGAGAGTCCGAGGCCACGGCAGTCCGAGAAGTCGCCCCGCCTGCCCTGGAGGTGTTCCCGACGTGACAGCGCCCAGAACCGGCATCCTCGCGACCCTTTCCACGTTGCATGCCGGCTTGTCATGACACTGCGAACGTTGGCGCCGTAGTTGTCCTCGGGTCGAGCGGCGGCACGCGGTCGCCCAGCGCGTGCATCTGTTTGCGCGTGGGCCCCCGCCTTGCAACTGCCCCCGCTGCCGTGCCCGCACGGCCGCCGCCGGCGCTCCCATGCTGACGAGCGTGCCATACCGCTGTTGCAACTCCACGAATTCGGCGGTTTGCACCATCGACAAGGGGGCCGTTGTCCCCCGTCTGCGCGCGAGGCCAGCCGATCTGGACAGGAGCGAGGGTGGAGGATCTCCTGCACAGAACCCGGGCTCTCAATCATGACGCGGTGGACGCGGTGAACCCGCGCTCTCAATCAAGCCGTCAGGTTCGGCGCTACGCCGGTTCAAGCCGCGACCGCCTGTCTGGGCGATGGGCGCGGCGATTCGGCCCACGACGCGGCTTGATGGTGCTCGAGCCTGAGAGCCCAGTGGGCTATCATCACACAAGCACCGCGCGCCTCGAATCGACCCCCGTTGTGCAGGAGGTGCCAGTCAACCGGTGCCACCCCCAGCACCGCCGCGTGGACTGTCGATCGATCGTTCCTTCCCTTCCTCCCTCGCCAATCAGTCCATACCGCCCTCCCTCCTCCCTCCCCTTCCAGTCCCCCCCCTCTCCCCCCATCCTCTTCGCCCCCATCGGCCTTCGTCCCCGTGGGAAGGAGCGGCGGCGGCATCAGCAGGTCAATCAGATGTATGAAATATCAGCCACTGCATGGGAACATTAACAGTAGGGAGTGAGGAAAGGAGGGGAAGGGAGAAGGAGCAGTAGCAGCAAGAAGAGTAACGCGAATCAACCAACCAGACCGTTTAATACACTGCACACCCCTCCCTCTTCCTTCCCCCGAGACAACTCCATTGCTTCTTGCCCCTGCCCCAGTACCCACTCTCTCCCTCGACATCCCCACCATGCCCCCATTCCTTCCCTCCTGTCCCCTTCCCCACCCCTCCTTCCCCATTCCCCCTCCATTCCCAAGTCCCCCTTCTCTCCCCCAGCTGCCCCTCCTCCTCGTTCTCTTCCCTCGCCCATGCTCCACGCCCCCTCCCCGCTTCCCGTCCACCTCATCTCGCCCCCCCCCCCCACCTCCCGCGCCCCATCTGGCCCCCTTCGCCCCCCGCCCCTCCTCTCCCCGACCCTTCTCCTCTCCCGCCCCTTCGGGAGGTGGGTGCGGGCCCCCGGCCGCCGAGCCCCGCCGAGCCAGGCGGGCCGATAGCTCACGAGCCCAGCCGCGCGCCAGCGCCGACGGCGCGCCGGGGAGGCCCTGCCCGGCCCCCGGGGGGCCGTCGGGACAGGCACCGGAATCGTGTTGCTCTCGGCGCCGCCGCTTTTTCCGATTTCGGCCCACCGGGGGCCCAACTCAGGCCCCGAGATCCTCGGAACTTCATCCGGGGGGAAAGATGCCCCGTGGAAGAAGTGTTGGCGGCTCCGGGGGCCGCGCATTGAGAATACCACGACATCGGAGGTTTGGCTACCACACGTCATTGTCCCAATGGTGTCCGTTGTGCGGCTGCACTGAAATGGCCCAGCCACGCGCAATCGTGAAGCATTTACGCGGAAAGTCGGTGAGTGTAATTTAGCACTGTGTTCATACTCATCAAAAAACCTTTGCACCAACGGTGCAGGCAAGCGCTTGCACCGTACGCTGGAGAATATACCACAGTCGGTGTTTGCCTTGACGTCCCCCATCCATCGTCCCCCTATGCCTGCTACCGCGCATGCACATTCATATATTTCCCCGGTGCCAGCGTGTCCGTTTGCCCCCAGGGGAACATGTATTTCCCAAGGTGGGGGAAAGAGCTACGCGTTCCCCCATCATTGCCATCCTGTGTTTCATCTGCAGCATCGTCTTCAGATTCGATCTCATTGTCCTCTCCCTCTCCCTCCTCCCAATCCTTAGATTCCTCAAAATCCCTCTCATACTTCTCTTGCTATGCTCTTCCTCCTGTTCCTCGTCGTCTCGCACCCTGCCTCGCCTCCCCACCATCTCTCATCAGACGTACGCAGGCCGACAGTTGTCCCTCTAGAGGCCCAGATGACAACGATGGACCGACCGACGACGACGACCGACCGACGTAGACGACGACGATCGACCGACCGACCGACAGGCTGACCGACAGGAAACCCCCTCCCCCGTAAAATCATAGCAGTGGTCTGCAGATCCACTGCTCCGTGGATTTCATTGCCTATAGGTCCGCGGTATCAATTAGTATAGTCACAACTCTATTACAGCACAATTTGAATTGGAGTTGGAGCGGAACTGGGGCCTCCTCATCAAGCCATCCTCCCAGTCCTGCATGGTTGCCGCAGGGGCAGGCGAAGAAACGCTACCCGCGAAGTGGCCGCGCATCCATGAGTTCACTGTCCTGGGACACACGCTGCAGGACACTGGATCCATCCAGGCCTCTTGGCGGAATGCCCGCGTTGCCATGCGTCGTGGCTTCTGGACCACCCCGGGGTCCAAAGCCACCCGCGGGCTTGCGATGCGTCAGCGCCTTCGTCTCCTGGACCGTCCAGTCGTGCCTCAGATGGTTTTCCAGTCTTCGCGATGGCCTCCGCAGCGTCGCATAGCTGCTGATGTGGACGTCCTTCGCCGGATGGTTTCCTCCATCATGCGTTTGCCGCCCCGCCCTGGAGAGGAACCAGCGTGCTACTTCAGAAGACGGCCGCGCAGCCGCCGCCGTGTGCAACAAGCAGTGTGTCTGGTCCAAGCGGTGGTTCTTGAGGGCTCTTGATTGGCAGGATCATCCTGACCGACCCTGAAAGGGCCAAAGTTGGGCAGCAAACTTGTCCAGGTTTGGGGACAGGGAGTGGCTCATCCAATGTTCCAGGCCCCGGCCAAAACAGCTGCCTATGTTCCCAGATCCAGGGCTACTTGGAGAAGATCGAGCCCTCGGACGGCGCGGAGCCCACCATCACTCGCGCGATCCTCGACTTACAGGTGCAGGCCATCAAGCTCGAGACCTTGTACGACGAGAAGAAGACCAAGCTGATGGTGGCCGCCCCGCACTGGGGCATGCGCGCGGTGGTGACCCGCGCGTTTCAGGCCGAGGGCTTGGCAGTACGGATGACGGGAGTAGCGCCCCCTGGCTGGCTCGAGGACGAACCATCGACGTGGCTGGACGCTCTGACCAAATAGTAGTCTTGCACGGTGGAACACTACCAGCTGCAACAGGCCCAACGCGCCCGCGGATACCTTCGACCGACTCTTCGGCTTCGGCACACCGTGAGCCCGCGGCACGCATCCCTTCGGACTCTTCTGAGCAGTGGCCATGGGACGACTAGGCACATTGTGACAGAGAGTTGAAATGACAGGATCCTGTGTTTTCGGCAGGCGACCTCCCTCGGATGAGCTAGCCGCAATTTTTTATGGAATAGCGAGTCCCTGTCCATGCAGCACAATATAATCGCTTCGTTCATTCCGCCGGCCCATAATGTCGCACCGTGGTCGCCTGTCCGAGTGGTCGTTTGCAGTGTGGAGCTGCGGCGCCGGGAGCTGTGTAGTTGCCGATAAAGTTGTTAATGTTTTTTTTATTGGGTTTCTAGGTGTTTGCAGTTTTTCGACGGCTTTGGTGCCATCGTGGGGGCGTGTTACCCGTGGTATCCCGCTGTGGGGCCGTTCGAGTCGGGGGAAGAGACATCTTATGCGATAGGGGAACCCTCGTGTCGGAGGGTGGCGGGCTTTGAATGCTAACATTGGCTCTGTTATAGTCCTGATGTCCTCTGGCGTTGCGGACACGGGCGTGAAGGAACACTTTCTTGTGGCGTTTCTCTTACCATCTCTTTTCTAATTGGACCGTAGGAGGAGGAGGAGGAGGAGGAGGACGAGGAGGAGGACGAGGAAGAGGAGGAGGAGGAGGAGGAGGAAGGAGGAGGGGGATGAGGAGCGATGAGGAGCGCCTTTGTCGTCTTCGTCGTCGTCGCCGCCGCCGCCGCCCGCCGCCGCCGCCCGCCGGCGTCGTCGTCGTCGTGGAGGGTCGAGGATAGCGAGTCCCTGTCCACGCAGCGCAAGTTTTTCTGTGTGACACCGCGTGCGCAGTCTGATGCCGTCTCGAGGCGTCCACCCGCAGGCCTGCTTTGTCCCGCTCTGGCGTGCCGCGCCAGGGCGCTCGCCAAACGCCTGCGCAGCGGACAGAGAGAGAGGACAGCGCGGTCCTGCGACGGCCCACTGCAGCCAGCACCTGTACCTGTTTTTCTCATGGTTTGGAGGCCCATTCGTCGAGTAAAAAAAGGGGGTTCCTCCTCCTCCTGCCTGCCTGCGCTCGCACCGAGAGAGGCGATCCTCGTGGCGTCTCCACGGCCCGCGTCGCGCGGGCCGCACATGCAGTCGTGACGGGGTCGACTCGGCCACCTGATCCTCATCCTACCTCCACCCCACTCCTCCCCAAAAAAACGAAAGGGCTCCTTCGACCCCATCACGACGAAGTCGAGCCCCCCAGGTGGGGACCCACCCTGGGGGGCTCACACACCGGCCTCCTCAGAGGTCCCAGTCGGCCTCCACGGCCGCGCGCCATCAGCGCCCACGCATCTCGCCCTTGCCGTACAGCGTCGGGAACCCCGACTCAGCCGTCTAGCCCAGGGGGTTGTTACGTTGTGGGCTGAATCCACCCCCCCTGGGCCACGACCCGCGCACCTTCACCAGGAAGTCGTCCTCATAGCACTCCCCATGCATCATCCACCATAGGTCATACCAATACTCGTCTTCAACGTTTTTGCTTCCAACTCCGACCATCATATCCTTCTCCACAGAATTGTCATCTATTCCAGTGGGTATCCTGGCCATGTCCGTGGTAACGCACATTGGGACACGGGCCCTTCCACATACATGGAATATTAACGTTAAGGCTCGAAATACGGTATTCGCCCTTGCTTGCTTATCCCACAATCTCCCACGGATTTCGGTACCACCCCACAATCGCATACCCATATACCCATATATCTGTCCGACAACGCCAAAAGTCTTTCGCCTGCATATATCCCGCACCACCGTGTGACACATACCATATGT